TTCTTGAAGTCTATGAACTTTTGGGCAGTGGTCATTCATCATTCTGTGGGCCCAAGCCGACTGACACAGATCTGGAGCTACTTATCAAAGAAGTTTCAAAAAACTATGCCGCTATTCTTCAATTGATGGCAAATTGAGCTCAATCACGGTGCAAAGCAAAGCCACAGACAGTTCCGACGTCAGCGAAATGCACTGATTTTCTTACATAAGTTGCAAAATGCATTTTCATGGGTGTCTCGGTGTCCGCTGCCATCAGACACTTTCGGGGAACAGCTGTAAAGGCAAAGAAGTATACAATTTTGGTTATGTTTGTGGAATAATCAACACAACACGCATACGCATGCACAAAAATATAAAAATAACGATCACAAGCCGTTTATCTTATCAGCTGAGCTGTTTATTTGCCTTTGACTTGAGCTCGCATTATCCCTCGACTCATTTATAAACTCTGTTTCTTTTACAACTGTAGCACCAGTTCCAGTCTCTACCCTAAAAAAAATAGCAGCAGGCTGTGGCACACAGATGAGAGATGCGAATAGTGCGAATGGTAACAGCACAAAGCAGCAGCAGCAGCAGCAGCACGAGCAACAGCAGTGGAATCATTAAAGAGCAACAGCAATAACATCAGTGTAAGAGGAATAATTGTTCAGCCAAGAACCACAAGTTGCAGACAGCAACAGGAGCAGCAGCAGCAGCAGCAGCAGCATGCCCACAAGAAAGAGCTGCCAGGTACTGGCCCTGCTGGGTCTGTGTCTGGTCTGCCATGAGGCGGCTTTGGTCAGTGGACATGTGCTTGTCTATAGACGCATCTCAAATCAGGCAAGTATTTTATATTTTGTATGACAGAGCAATCAATACTCATTTTTTCATCTTGTTTTGCAGTTGATTGAGGAATTCAATGCTTTGCCAGCTCAATTTGGTCCTCTACTGCCGCCAAATGGTCTCAAGGTGTACGTGGTGCCTGCCATGCCCCAAGCGTATGGTTGTGAATTGCTGAGCAGGCCACCGCATTTGATTTACCCATCAGCGGCCAAATTTGTGGCACTGATATCACGCGGCGGTGGCTGCACCTTTGAGATAAAGGTGCGCATGGCACAGAATGCAAGCTACTCTGCTGTGATTGTCTACAATAACGAAGGAGATGATTTGGGTAAGCAAATCCATCGGGTAATCATTTGGACACCCTGTTGATTCTCTTACTAATTTGCAGAGCAAATGTCCGCCGATAATCAGTCGGGCATACACATACCCTCCGTCTTCGTTGGCCATACAACGGGCAAGGCTCTGGCCACATATTTCACGCCCGAGGTGGTGCTAATCATCAACGATGAGCTGCCCTTCAATATCAACACACAACTGATATTGCCCTTCTCCATACTGATTGGCCTCTGCTTTCTCATCATGGTAAGCGACTCTAGTCTGTAATATAGTTATCCCTATTTTCATGGATGTTTTTGTTCTGTTCTTTAGGTTATCTATATGATATACAAATGCATACGCGAACAGCGTCGTTTGCGTCGCCATCGACTGCCCAAGAGCATGCTGAAGAAGTTGCCTGTGCTGCGCTACACAAAGAACAATACGAACAATAAATATGATACCTGTGTGATCTGTCTGGATGAATTCGTTGAGGATGACAAGCTGCGTGTGCTGCCATGCTTCCATCGTAAGCGGAAGTCCCTCATTATTCCAGTAGAATAGATAATCGATTGATAATCAACAAAATTATCTTGCAGCCTATCACACACACTGCATTGATCCCTGGTTGACTGAAAATCGTCGCGTTTGTCCCATTTGCAAGCGCAAGGTTTTTACGAAAGGCGAAGAACGAGCAAGTCGGAATCGACAGCCTTCTTTGGATAGTGTCACCGACACGGATGATGATACAACGCCGCTGCTGCAACAGCAGCCAAATGGTGGCCGGCAGGGTGGTCAGGGTTCCGCCTCATCCGCTGCCAGTGCAGCAGCGGCCGGTAGTAGCTCCAGTGTGGCAACAACTGCTGCTGCAGCCACCACACGACATGGCACCTTTCGACGTGCTGACGCTGGCCGGAATCCATTTGAAGCGCAGGAGACTCAAAGCTCGGATGATGAGGATGGTGCGTAATTAGTGCTCTCTGATTGATTAGTCATTTAATTCTCTTTGTTTTGGTGACAGCCCTGCTGGACTATTCCTCACTTCCGGACACCTCATCGTCGCCCACTCGTGAGCGCATGAATCCCTTTGATCGTGCACCAAATTTGCCCGAACATCTCGCTCGACAGTTGAACGAAGAACGTCCCTCGATTTGGTCGCGCATTAATTTTGGGTATTGCTTATTTCTCATTGAGTTTTTTCGTGTGGCTTGAAGCTAATTCTGAATGTATTTTGGCAGCTTCCTGTTTCGTCGTCCGGCGATTTCAATTAGTGTGGCAGCACCGCCATATCTGGAGCACGTTGAGTCTGGTACTAATGCCACGATGGGGCTGCCCGCGACGACTGCAACGACAACAACGGGGGTAATTGCCATTGCCTCGCCCGCATCGAATAACATCCTTAATCCGAATTTAAGCGGCTCCTTCAAGGATGCTGAGGATATGCCACCGCATCGCTCCATCTACGAACCCATAGCAATCAATACGCCAGCGGCCAACGATTCAGCGTTCCTGCAAACGCCCACGCAGGGCGGCATAGGCGTGGCCGCATTGCCACACAGTGCTGCCGATCGTCAGTTTCTCATATGAGCGCAAGGAGTGGATGTCCCCGTACACTTAGTCGTTGTCGATCCCCAAAGAACAACCTTTTTGTTTTTAATCAAGAACAATTCGATTTGCTTCGCTTTCAAGAGAGAAAGAGAGAGCTGTGTGGCTACCAGCTGCTTTGTTTTAAACAATTAATAAATGTTTATTATTAAATATTAATAAATATGTAGGCCCTACCCCTCAGATCTTGTGTTGGCCTGTGAGTCCGTCACGCCCACAAAATACACAGACACACAAAACACACACACGTACATATACATATATATATATATGCGTATACAAATTGTGATTTATTTTATATACATTTTACAAACCTAATCCCACGATTGGCACACACCACAGAACCCGCCTACAAAATTTACCAAAAACAAAAAAAAACGCAAAAGATACCACCAGCTAAGATTTGATTTTTTTTTAGTCAAACAAACCTCCTCACACACACACAAACACAAACATACGAGTGCAACAGAGTGATTCATGGAATTAGTTTATAATTTTAATTTGAAACTAAACACACAAAAAAATGAAATTAAAGCTTAAACAATTTGATTAATGAACGATTGATGTGGCATTATATGGGCCTGTACATTGTATATTATTCTCGATTTAACTAATTTTAAGTTTACTATAAAAACAAACCAACAATATTTAAATTAAAACACCTCCCAAATGTTGCAAATGATTTTCCAGTTAGAAGAGGAGAGCGCGCGGCAGAGGAGTGAAACACACAATAAAATGTATGAATGTACGCTATGTTTCTTCTTTTAACAAATATGATCAAATTATATTTCAAGTTGCCACAAAATCCACTGAAAGTAGAGCATAAAACTAGTTTGTGATTATTTTAACCCAAAAAACAAAAACCCTTTAAAATGCAAAGGAAGTAAAAACGAAATTCAATTAGGGCATAGATGCGTTTGAAACAAAAAAAATACAATATATAAAGTATATTTAGAAATGCTGTGGCAGTGTAATTTAAATTTAATTTACATTCGAAGAAAAAAATAAACGTAATGGATATAAAAAATACATATGTCTGGGGATCTGTTTTACTTACCAAATGAGGGATGTAACGAAATAATTGGACCTCAAGCACTGCTACGAGAGAGCTCTAACAGAAGGCAGAGCAATATCTGGTATTTCAACTGTTTCTAAGCAGCTGCCTAAACGAAGCAACATCTGCTTTTTGAGGCTTTTGGCTAAGATTTTATAAGCAGCATTTATACCATCTATGGAACTAATAGAAAATGGGAGTTCATCGCTGTGAATACTCAAGGGCTTGAATATTACTTGTTAACACCTATTTTATATGTACTACAGAGCAAAGCTTGGCCAGATAAATTTCCTACATACATGCTTTAATTCTAAGGATGATGAATGAGTTATAACATCCTAAGAGAGGATACAATATATTTAAAACGTTGGAGTTCATGTATTCCACAATTATTGTGATTCGATCTCCATATGCGATTATTTCATAATGCGATGATGCCTTTATTAGCCACTACTTTAGCTCACATCAAGTTAAACTCACTTGTGGTGTCTATATTTGAGATATACGAGGAATGGCGTATCTTAATTTGTCGCTGTACATGAGCACTGGTAGCATTAATATCTCTATTATGTAAACTTTCACTCCACCATCAAGGCTCCAATCCGAAACTTTTTCACAAGCCCTGCTTCATACTTACACTACAGTACTTTGATCCCTCTATTAAACATCCATAATTAGACATACATAATTACACGAATGTTTTCCCACAACACAACACAACACGCGAACGGCAGTAATAGACAACTCATTTTGGATTCTTACGCATGTTATACGTATACATAGTATGTGCATACACACTCGTATATCTACATATCTGTATATTTATTTGTGGTTCTTTCAACTTTAATTATAGTCGTCCTTTTTTGTAGAAGAAGGACTCATTATACTTTGTGTGTGTGTTGATGTTGATCCAATCCAAAAGCCTGCGAAACACCGCAGCTGCTGTCCCGAATGTACGTATGGGATATGGTATCTATGTATATATGGGTAATAAATATATCTATATGCTATATATAGATGCGAGTGTTTAGGCCACCATTTACGTACATTATTTGAATGTGGATAAATAAATACAAAGTAATTCTCGGGATTTATACAAACGTTTTTGTTTCACTTTATATAATATAAGAGTTATTTAATACGATAGCATATATGTATGTGTATATACATATACTTATATATCAACACATATATCGTAGTAGTATACATTTAAACAGCATGTATAATTGTTTCATTCAGATTTAGTCGAGTAATCAGCACTTTTTAGAAGATATTACAATTTTGCTACAGAGAGTGTGTGTAGGGGATGTGTGTCGGATGATACATATGGTAGGAAATATAATTTATGATTTGTACAGATTTCATGTGTGAATGAATGAGTTTTTTTTTTTGTAAAGGGGATAATTGATACAATTTTCTGTTTTAAAAATGTCGACAAAGCTATATACAAAAAAAAATAATATGCAGCACTTTTAAGAACTTAATAACTAAAGAAACATAATGTTGTATGAACTATGGGGGGGGGGGGTGTGCATGGACGTCCCACTTCACTTGACCACAAGCGATTGCTTGAGATGCCGCACCAGACCGGAACCAATATCCTGTACATCCGGCCATTGTCGTATCACAAAGATGACAAAACATATTGACAGAAATGTGGTTAAGACGCGTACCCTATAGGAGAAAAGGCAAACGAGTTTTATTAGTTAAATGCATTGAATGACGAGTCGAAGAGCCGTACCTTGTTTTAAGAAATGGCATTATAATGCCCGCTGCTGTGGCCACTAGTAGGAGTACCACCTGTAATATCGTTAATACCACATTGATGAGTTTCACAACCAACGCCCTGGCATTTGAATTATCAATGCCCTCAACAGTGACATATTGTTGCTGTGACATGTGCTCCATTTTGGATATCTACGAGAGGGATTATATATCTATTAGACACTGTTCTCTTTTTCCTTTATGGGCTGCTTGGCTGCTGCTTACCCTCGTTTGACAATTCTCAAGTACTTCATTGACATCACGTAGTCTTTCATCGCTTTGGTATTGTACTTTCTCCTCCATGTCAGCAATCGTTTGCTTTAGATTCTCAATTTCATTCTGCAAAACAAAAGAAAAGATTATTTATTTGGAACTATGCCAAAGGGGCATCATATCGTGTCCTACAAACCTGATGTAATTCCGTCAAGTCATTGATTTGCTCTTCGAGTCCCTCGGCACGATATCGTTCACTTTCAAGTGTGGCTGTCAGGTTATTAAATTCCTTTTGGCTTGTCTATAAAATCAGATAGCAAAGAGAACAATTTTAATGTGCGTTCCCAGAGAGGGAAGAGAGGATACTCCCCATACCTCTAGCCGTTCCATGCGCTCCTTGAGCTTCTCATTCTCTGCCTTGCGCTCGGCCAGCTCTGTGAGGAGTGTCTTGAGGACTATGTGATATTGGCTGGCACCAGATTGACTCTTGCCAGAGCTGCAATACAAGAAGAAAAGGATCCTCCGTTAGTAAAAATGCGAAAGAGATCCCCTTGTCATATTCTTACCCTGCTGGTATACTCTCACTCGTCACGCTGCTGCATTCACTGCCATTGTCACTATTGAATTTCCCTGTGCCACTGCCCGTTCCCGTATTATTATTATGTCCTCCACCCCCACCAGATCCGGTGGAGGTACCTGCACCTGGCACCTGCTGCTGCAGTCTTTCGTTGGCCGCCAGCACATCGGCGGCATTGGCCGCCTGCATGCCCTGCAGCTCGGCATCGCTCATCTGATTGATGTTGTCGGCGCTGCCAAACTTATTCTTGATGAGATGGGCAAACTCACGCGGCTTGGACATCACAGAGCCCGAGAATCCAGTGATGCCATCGCGTATGTTGCCACCCACATTCCTTAGACCCTGGCCCACATCGCGTAGAACTTCGCGCGGCTGTCGATGTTGGCTCTTGGTCTGAAATTGATGATTCTGCAGATCCTTGGCTCGTTTCGTATAGTTATCGAGCTTTTTCTGCAGCTGCGAGATGCTGTGTGCGCTCTTTTGGTTCTTCTTTTCGAAGACAGCCTGCAAAAAGAGAATGCAAATTACGGAATGAAGAGGAGGACTCTTCAGGACTCTTCAGGACTCGTACCTTGATGCGCTGCAGCTGCTGTTTATCGGCGCTGGCTGCTAACTTTAGATATTCGTTGACATTATCTGAAAGTATATTAAGACAAATTTAGATACTTTTTGTCTCACATTTCCTTCCTTTCAGGACTCTCTTACCATCTCTGGCAGTTTGCTCTTGTCGTATGGACTCCTTGGTGCATTGAATTTTCGTATTCAAACGATCAATGGCCTGGACACTGGAGCTTCTCTCGTGGGTGCATCTCCGGGGCCTTTTGCTGCTGTCAAACTCATCCGAAACGAACGATGAATAGTAGTCCTCGTTGCCAGACAATCGTGAATCCTCCAGGCCACTGCCTGTGCCAGCACTTCCTCCACCGCCGCCCTGGGTACCTCCTCCCACCACACCGCCAAAATCGTTCATATCATTGACGCCTACGAGGCCGCTGTAGGCCAATAGGCCGCCCTGATCCGAGCCATGGGTCCGCCGCTGCCTCTCGCGACTCCTACGCCGGTGGGTGGGGCTGTGGCTGCGAAAGCCACGTGCCACCACCCCACCGCTGCCCAGACTGCCGGTCACCGTGTTGCCGCCGCTGTAGACAGCCGCCTGTGCAGCTGCCACTGTGCTGGAGGAGGCCGAAGAATTGCTATTGGTGTTCCCCGAAGCGGGACCGGAAGTGTTTGCAGCGGCTGCTGTCGTAGTCGTTGTTGCTGTGGCTGCTGATGCTGTCCCACCAGACGATGATGCTCCTACTGCTGATGCACCGCCTGCTGCTGCCGCTGCTGTTTGTGTGGCTGCCGCTGCCTCGCTGGCCCGCTCCCTGGACACTGGTAAATTATGGCGCATAGAAAAAACGGTACGTGTGATGGGTTATTGCTATTTCTATTTCTGTGTCTTTTATATTTTCTTTTGGTTTTAGTTTCGTTCTTCAAATGTGAATGATAAGAGCGCGTTGGTCTCGCCGCAGCACAAGCAGCAGGGAAAAATGTATTGCATGCACATAGGCGCCAGCTTAAAATGAAAGCAGTGTCATCCGCTGTGCATTTGTGTGTGAATGAGTGAGCGGATGGCGGAAGGGAGAGAGAATGTGCAAGTGCTGTTGCTGATGGTGAATGCTGTGTGCGAGAGAAAGAGAGTATGAGAAATAGTGTCAGTGTATGAGAAAGAAGCGTTATTTTGTGAGTGCATGTGAGAAACAGTTTGGTAAGAGGTGACAGTGTGAGTGATGGTTGTGCTAGGCAAGAGAGCGAGTGAGAGTGATGACAGAGCGGAGTGTTGATGGCTGGTGCTGTGTGGGCGACTTTTGATAGCTTTTTTGCACTAGTGTGTGTGTGTGCTTTTTGAGTGAGTTATGTGTCTTCACATACGTGAATGATTGACAGTTAGACCCGACAGCCTGTGCGGCGCGAAAGAGATATATAGAGAGAGAGAGAGAGAGAGAGAGAAAGAGCGCACGCAAGAGGAAGAAAAAAGACAGAGAGAGGTGGGTGAGAACAGCAACAAAGGTTTGAATGGCTTGTTTAGTTGCGTGTGCCACAGTTTTTGGCGAAAGCACAAAGAATGCAACAAAAACATTAAAAAGAACAATTAGGTGCAGTGGACACTAAATAATAAGATACAGCGAAATCGAAATTAAAAGGAAAGCTAATAAAACCAACTTTTTCTTTGCGTTACTTAAATATGATTTACTGATTCAATTTTGTTAGTTTGATGCGTATTTCTGCTTATATTTTATTTAGTACAATCCCACATATGGGGATTAATGAAAGATTTGTCAGTGCATATTTTTTTGTTAACATAAAGCTAATACCATATGTGTGAAATGATTATTTAGATACCTACATTTATCAATGATTTATTTGTGTTTTGCTTGAAATTCGAGTTTCTATTTTGTTGTGGATCGTGTGTGGTATGCAATGTAGTACGAGAGGCTACAACACATTCAACATTCAAACGGTTACAAAAGCTGAAGAAAGGGAATACAAAGAAAGATAAATAAAACAAAATAAAATAAATGTAAAGTAAAGTAAACAAGAAAACAATGGTTAGGGAACAATTTAAAAAAATGGCTAATAGAATAGATATGTACATATGTATGTGTGTTTATATTCAGAGCACTAAACAATCGGCACTCAATAAACAATCAATAATTGCAATAAAAACGAAGCACACAAAAGCAGGCTATAATTTTGGTAAATTTGCTCTTTGGATTTCTATGGCTCTGCGAAAAGCTGATTGCGGCCAATACTCGTACTATAAGCAAACTACACATGATTTGGGGTGTTGTAAGTGCGGCCGTGTGTGTGGTTTCTAAGGGTGGCTGTAAGGCAGCAAGGGTGCTGGCGGGGGGTTGCTTTGGAGATGAGTCATCATTCGTGTCTGGAGCATAAATTGAGAGCATCATATGCTCGAAAGAACCCACAATTCCTTTGTGGCACAAACAGTTTTCTTTTTCTGTGCTTTGTTCTATTTTTCCTGACTGTTTTTGTTTTTATTTTGGTATGCATAATGGTTGTTTATATATTTTAACTATAAAATGTTCTTTTGGGACTAAGATCTAATGGGTTGTTGGTTCAAAAGTCATAAATGGAAAATTTGAAAATCTGACACCCATTCTCCCCATAGCATCTAATTTCTACAGTTTCTGTCACATTTTAGTGAGCGTAAGCTTTATTTAACTAATCTTTTCTTGAACCATTAAAGCAATACACAACTCACATTTTCATATCTTCCTAAAGCTCTCAACTTATTAAGGGTCCCATTATATTCTCTTCTTTAAACCTATATTTCATTCAGCATTCAATTTTCTACATTATTTGCCTCTTCTTAAGCTCACATTTCATTCATGCTGCTCGTGTGCTGCAGACTTAATAGCCGGAAATGCTAATTGAATCAGCAGCAGAATCCCAACCTACTGATAACAGCATTATTTCCTAGTTAGAAACAAGATTGAAACCGCCAGACATAATCATGAAAACCATTAAACCAGAGACACTGATGATAAGATGATAGGAACGAGGAAGCTACAGCATTAACACACGCGCCAATCAAAGCAGTTATGAGGCTTATTATCACAGGGAGAAATAAATGTAACTTCTCTTTAAAGAAAGATAGATCTAGGAAATTTTTAATTAATAATTACTCTGTTCGGTGCTGCGACTTGCGGATGGACTGCGACTGGCGCGTAGATTCGAACTGGAGCCGCGTGATGGACGCAGTGGATGTAAGGTTAAGAGATCCCGACTTTGATTCGTAGGCGTATGCACCACCGCATTAGGCGTTGCGTCCATTATTGCATATTGTTGCCATTCAATGGGCTCTGATCACAGATTCTGTCACACTCTACAAAGAAAGGAGAAGAAACCAATAAAATATATTAAATATATACCATTTTAATCATTTATAATATTTCTAGGCTGCGGTATGACAAAGTCCAAAGGTGAATCAACTCTCGTAACCATTCAACTGATAATCCAATCCCCCCGATCACACACAATCACGGCTATAAATATAATACGAATAATAATAAAACTGGAGCAGATTTAATTATACAACAATTCTATAAATTCTTAGCATTTTGCAAGAGATTTTTTGAGAGTGTTGGAAGATGAAAACCATCTGATTATATATTATAAAATATTCCAAATATTCTTGTAAAAAAGTGTTTCAAGTGTTAAGTGATTCCATTTGTAGAAATGTTGGGTATACACTGAAGCAATAGTGAACAATTTAAACAATTTAGGCGCTTTTTATATAATTTATGGAACAGATCTACACTCTATGAAAGGGATAATAAATACACAATCGAAAGAACAGTTTGTTCTATGCATTCACTCCTTTTTAGATACCATCCCCTTTCAAAATTCTCTTAAGTTATCACTTTACTTTCCGTCCACTGCACGTTTGTATATGTTTTTATAGACCTGATATGGTGGCAATTTATTGAAGATAATGGCACCTACATTGTACACACAATCTCTCTCTCTCTCTCTCTTACTCTCTTTGTATAGCTGGTGCCGCCAGTAGCAATATCAGAAGGGGAGAAGACCTTATATAGATCGATTATGTGGCCTGCTCCGTCTGGTAGATTGTATAATATTGTATGTGCACGTAGTACAGAACTCAAGTGCCCTGAGCGGCATGCCAATGGATGTTTTATATTTAGAGGATGAGATTCAGAGGTGCTGTCAGAGGTACAGTCAGGGGAGAAGCAGTCAGGGTAGAAGCAGTCAGAGGTGGAGGACACATCATCATCAGGGCTGTGGCACACAATGATAACAATTGTTTACCCGATTATACAAACATTTATACAAACATTCATTTTTCTTGTTGCCAGCAGAAACACACACACACACATACACAATTGTGTTATTAAAACATAAATAAGACATCCTTCAGCGATGTAACACCTCTGTGTTTCTAGAGTGGGGGGAGGCAGCAATTAAAGAGCTGTACCGATGGATAGCACATGTTCCGGCTCTAACAGTTCTCACAAGGAAATGCGAATTTCAAGAGCGCAAGTGGGAGGCGGTCGAGAGTCGAGCACTCAGGGAATTTCGATTTCTTCGATCTTGCAACAAATAATGAAACGATTGTAATAATTGTCAGAAGACTATTAGTTGCATGTTTTATGTATTATAGTGTAGTTCTTTATTCCTTTTACGAAATAAGCCTAAGCAGCTCCACAGAAATACACAGGTAATATTTCACCAGAAAATGTCTCAGATTCCAATAAAGTTAAGCCCTTTTCAAAAGTTAATCTATATTAATCGGATGATGCCTTTGTTAAAGTATTACTCGTGCTCTTACGCTGCTGGAGAATGCTTCATGCTTCACTCCCATTCCGATGTGATAATCAGCTTGAATGCCAGTATATCTTTCACTTTCACACTCATTTTAATACATAAAAGACCGAAGACCTACCCCATTGTAACTTCAATTGAGACAGGAACATCCACATGCACACGCTCTCTTCTGCCTCCTCCTACTCCTTCATTTTTCTCACTTCACTTTCGTTTACATTTTTCGGGTAATTTTCCGTTTCGTAAATCCCTTTAAGCTCCGACAGACAGACACATAAACGCATAAGCATACGCATACACAGTGTAGAGATAGAGAGAGACTTTTACAGTACTGTAATATTTTTGCATTGTAAGCTCATTCCAAGAGCAAGAGATAATGCTTAGAGATGGAAGCAATGGGCGTGCGTGTTTTGTACACTCGTGTTTAATAGCAGCAAGAACATATAAGCATTAGCAGCAAGAGAACAACATAACGGGGAACCATATTGGAATGGGATGGTAACGGATTTAGACTATTATTCGATCTAGGCTCCTAACTTTATGATATACTTTACAATTATCTCTCTCTGTTCACAATCCGCTGATTGTCACGCTCCCATCTCTAATAAAGATGGACTTTGCCTCGCGCACCGCTCTGCTTCCCCAGTCCATTGCGCTTTCAACCCAAATGCTCATCTGCACTTGACTGCGCCACAGCACACATGAGGGAAGAGACGGAGAAAGAGTAAAGGAAGGGGGAGGAGAAGAGTGATAAGAGAGACGCAGTGAATATGGAGGGGGGAGGATATAAGCACAAGCAGAGTGAGATGGAGAAGGAGAAGAGGGGCTCATCTACTACGTTTTTCTTCTCTTACTCTTTCTCTCGAGCATAATCATTTTTCTTTATGCCCCTTTCTTATTGCTTTCGTTTCGGTTTCAGTTTTTTGTTTGTTTCGGAATTTTAATCAACGTTTATTTGTAACCTTCTTTTGTTGTTGTTTTGTTTTTGTGTACTTTGTTTTTTTTTTATACCCGCGTCTCAATCGCTTTCTTCGCTAGTACTTTCGCCTACTCCTTCTACTTAATGGAATGATGTTTTAACAGAAACAAAAACCATAATAATAATAACAAAACGACACGCATTTAATATATTTTGCAGAAAAAGAAATTTAGTCTGCATAGTCTCAGCAGAATATTGCAACAAAAGCTGCTTACGAGTTTAAAAAATAAATTCGTTCCATATTTAATTATTTTAAAGTCTAATCCACTCTTTTCCTTTAATTAAGGTCGCATCCACAGAAATAATTCTGGTGCAATGTGCATTGCATTTCAACAAAAAGCTGTTTTCAGTGTCATTGACTTGGGCACGAGCTTAACCTGTGTTGCTGTCTTTGTCCCTCTTTCTCTCACTCACTCTCTTTGTCACCATATCTCTGTTTTGGGTTCGTGTTTCGCTTTAGTTATCAGCTTTCAAGTCGCAAAAATCTCGTGAAAAGCAGCTCGGAAAAAGTCAAGTACTTGATAGGGGCAAGCCTTCAGCTGATGTGTGCCACACAGAACCCTCTACGAATATGCATACTATCAGTATCAATGGTTGTCTGTTATCACTAGTCTATTCGAAATCCTACGATCCTCAATGGCAAGTGCAAGTACAATCTGAAACCCATTAATGGGAAGCAGTACTTCCGCATTGTTCACACGAGCAGTTGGCCACTGTTTGGGGTGTGGGGTGAAGTGGGCGCTCAAAGTCCAGAGAGATAATTTATCAGAAGATAGAATAGAACCCACAGACCCCGACCTCAATTATGCACAAAAGACAATAATTTATCCGAATGACTCAGTGAATGAAATGCGGCAACGTTGCCCAGCACGACCACGACATCAGATGGATAGAACATCTACGGGTAACATGCAACATGTGGATGCAACAGCCCATGCCTCCCTGTCACCTTAAACTTTTCAGCACACTGCCAACATTTCATTCACCTAACCATCATCTGTAGCCTGCTTCCATCGGAGACTCTCTGACTGCAGCTCTGATGCCTCCTCCCATCTGTACCTTCCTTTTCAGCTCTTCCTCTCACCTTTCATGGAACTCTCCCATCGTACTGCAGCTCAACGTTTTTTCCATCCATCTGAGACTCCCATACGTTTCTCCCATTACCTTCCTACCTTCCCTCCCGCAGCTGGTTATCGTTTGTGAAGGTCACCACGCTTGGATTATAAATATAAAGAACCGTATTAAATTATAAGTCTGAGCAGACATCTACGAACTACAGACAGTGGCAGAGAGACAGCCAGACAACAGACGACAGACAGCCAACAAGCGGCAGTCATTCAGTCAGAAAATAATTACTGTCTCGTTTTGCATTTCCATTGGGTGTCCATTATATATCCTCCCCCCCCCTTTTCCACTGCCTTTCCTCCCACACTCATTCCTTCTTCGGTTCGCCTGCTTCTTCCATCTGCTCCTACAAGTCGTAATTCAATCATTAGCAATAATAATGTTGTGTGTGGAAATGCTTTTTATAGACGACAAATGGGTTCCACAAATCTACAACACACAACAAATGTTTCTGGAGTCGATTTGCATTTGAATTTCGAATGATCTCATGAGCACCGTCCCGGCTGCGTCTTTGGACTACAGTTTTCATTGAGTTCAAGACTCGAGTTTTTAACTCAAGAATTCAAATGATCTTAACTCTGGCATTCCAGACGTTGCTATCTTGAAAATCTTTAGGAATAATTATCATACATTTACAAATTACAATTAGAAATCATGTCATGTGCGAAAAAGTACCCAGAATTATTTCAAGGCGGAATTTATGGGATGTCAACTTCGCTAAGGCGCACAAATATTTCAGTACTTATCGTTGCAAATCGATAAGAATTAATAGGTTTATATTTAGTTTATAAGGGATGTAAGGGATTCAAAGGAATTGATGGAATTTACGATGGAACTATCTTTTTGTGTTTTTTGTCTACCATAGAAAACTGTCTGTAAAATTTTCTTTCGCTTTTTTAGCAATGAAAAATCTATATAAATATTTATTTAAGCAATATATTTTAAAATACCAAGTGATATTCATTCCCTTTTCCTCTACTCACACCTTTTCTACCCATTTTGCGCACCGTCTTTCACTCATGGCTTATATAAGAAATACCTCAAAGATAAAACACGAACCAGCCAACAGCATAACTGTTGGCCAGGTCAAGGCTTGGCTTGGCTTGCGATGGAACATTCAATGAACTTGTGTTTTGGGGGGGGAAAAGACAAATTTGCAAAGTTAACTTAACGAAATAACAATAAAAGCAGCCAAGTCAGAAAAAAGCAAAAGAAAACAAAAGCAGAGTGAAAACTTTTTGAATGTTTTTAAAGGGGCCATTACCATTATTCGTTAAGAGTATTACCTCAACATTTTAACAACAGGCGAATGATGTGGGCCATGTTTTTGGAAAGCTCTTTAACGTCCCCTTAAATACAGGGTATTACGAGTCGATTAAACTTCCAACTAATTTGCTTCCCCCATCAAAATCTCAAAGGGTAACTATCTTTCATTA